GGCTAGGGCTAGGGCTAGGGCAACTGCACGACCTCCCTCCCTCCGGCAAGAGAGAGAAAGTTAAAACGAGTGATTTTACAGACCGAGAAGGCCGGCGGGTTTGTCTTCTCTCTCCAGGGAAGGGAGCTCGGCAGCTTCCTGTATCACCGGGTCTCCTCTCAGAGGAGAGGGTAAAAAAACCCTGCAAAACAACGAACTCGCAGCTGAGATGTGGCGCTACGCGGTCAGAAACTCCGGGGCGCCCCCCGATCCCCTGTCCCTTCGGCCGACATCGCGTGGAGACACCCCGCTATCTTCAGAGCAGCAGAGCCCCGGGTTCCGCTCGGCCGAACCTCCCGCCCGGCCGCCTTGAGCTTCGAGTCACGGCTGTGAGGAATGAAAAAACGAAACTTACTGAAAGTCGGGCTGCGCTCAGAGCCCGCCGCGGGGTCAGTGATCCGGGACGGGCCGGAGACGAGCGGGCGGGCGAGCATTTTGCCAAATTCAGAGATACAGCTGTAATCCGGCTTTCTTCCCGACGGTCCTGTGCAACACACCTCAGTGTTTAGACAAGGGGAGTACAGAGTATCTAGATTTAGTATCTCCTTTAATACCGAACCTAACCTGTATTTCTGCATCTGCGTCTGTGCCTGTTTTTTTGTGGGGGGGGGGTGGGTCGAGAGGCATTCTGAATCTGTGTGGAAAATAAAATAAAAAAACGATCAATTCTAACACGGCACGGAAAGGACTCGGCTCAGCGCGCCTGTTGCATGGATGCGATACACTCTTAAAACGTGTTAAGTCCAATGCTGCACCCTTAAACTTCACCTTAACGAGCCGTTCGGACAAGTTACTTTACTGGAAGAAAAAACGCATCTTGTAACAAAGGGGTGGCGATAACTGCTAACTGCCGAACCCCCTTTTCTGTAGATATCCCCACCGCTTTGTTACAAGATGCGTTTTTTTTCCTGTGAAGTAACTTAACCGATTAGTTCTACGCTGGCGTGAAGATGAGAAAGCTCAGAGTGCCTATTTCATGGGTGCAATACGCTCCTAGAACGTGTTAAATGCCGAAGCTGAAGCTGTTAAAACAGCGCTTTTCGCCAGGGCAGGGTATTGTAAATCCTAATTCCAGCTTCTGCCAGATCGCGAGTCCAGGACAGACTCCCGGCAGATCTGTCCTCTGCAGCAGTGGCTCTCAAAGTGTGGTGCGGGGGCGTGCGCCAGGTGGTCCGCGGGCTGACCTAATCCTCCTTCTTAAAAAGCAAGTCTCCGCTGTTGAAGTCAGAGGAAAGAATAGTGTCGTGTCCGCTCCCCCTAGGAGCACCGTGAAGAGCTGCAGGCTGTAAAAATCTGGAAGGAGGGACTTGTGTGTTGATTCCGGCTCCGTGAAGTTGCCCCCCCCCACCCTACAGACAGCACAAACGATGAAACCCACCTCATTCGTTAGTGCTACGTTTGTGCCGTTGAAAGTAGCGTTTGTGCTGCTTTCGTTTCCGAGATATAGCACCTTGTTTTTTCGGGGTCGTGACGTCACTCAGCCCCCCTACGCTGTCGTAGGGAAACCAAACCGGTCTCATTCGTTAGTGCATCACTGTCACGGCCACTGCTGCGACATTAAGTCCATATATCGCGATATGACAAATCCCGAAAAAAAGGTCCCATCCCCATGTTGCGATATGGACCCCGCATATCGCGATATGACATAGCCCCTGCAAAAGTGCCCCGCCCATGTCGCGACATGAAGCCTGCATATCGCGATATGACAAACGCCCAACCCACCCCCCCACACCCATGTCGTGACATGAAGCCCGCATATCGCGATATGACATACCCCCAGCAAAGTGCCCAGCCCCATGTCGCGACATGAAGCCCGCATATCGCGATATGACATATCCCCGACAAAAGTGCCCCGCCCCATGTCGCGACATGGGGGTCCATATATCGCGATATGACAAAAACGGTCACGCCCATGTCGCGACCTGAAGCCCATATATCGCAATATGACATACCCTGACAGGATATGCTGACCCCATGTCGCGATTCAAAGTCCATATCTGGGTATATCATGTCCTGATATGAGACCTTTGTTGCGACAGCGGTGCCAGGGCGGCATGGAGGCAAGGCGCCAGACGTGATATACACTGCCGCGATATACATGGGATATACCTGGGGTCCCTATCATGACATGCTCCGGAGGTCTTGTCGCGATGGTATCCCACAGTTAGGCGTTTGGCAACGGCGTGACACGGTATTGTGCTTTGTGGTCATATATCAACCCGCATCCGCCCAACCCGATCTAAAATCTTGTTTTGAACCCGAGTCAACCCGTTCCTCACTAGTTGTCACGATCGCGTGGTTACGCTGTTTACGGTTTGATATGTGAGTGCGGCTCGACTGCTGCACTGATTACTGTTCGTACCGTTTTGTTCTCACTTTTGAATCTCTTACTTTGGGTCTGAAGGTTCAAGGTGTGATTGAAAGCAGCAGTCGAAGCAGAAGGGGTCTTGTCATGGAGCACTGGCTCCAATCTGGGGCTCTGAAACTCCAACGCAGCGCCGATAGTGACACTGCAAGTGTGAGTGAGGTGATCTGTGAGCCAGACCAGCAGTGCTGTAATTCTCATCCCAACAGCTTGATAACAAGCGATGTGCCAGGAAGCAGAAGGTGTGCTTGATGTGACGTCTTCGTCTGCTCCCGGACACATGACCAAAGCTGTCCGGCTTGGATCCGGAGATCACTTCTCTGACTGCTCGGCAAAAGCAGCTCCGTTCTTCACATGGCCTTTTAAAGTCATAAACACCTTTGCAAAAGATGCAGCTTTGCCTGTAAAAATGTGGAGTTCTGTTTTAGTACAGGAATAGGTGACGATTCTCACAGGGTAAGAAGCGGACTCGGGCACAGGTGGTCCACCGCACCGGTGACTTGGAGAACCTCTGCAGCTTCCCTGTAAGGCCCCTGTCCCAGGCCGGTCCGCTCGCAGTGTGTCACCCGTGTTTACCCACTACGGTGTAGAAAACGCCTTTCAGTCCCCGGCGTGTTACTGCAGCGCCTGTTATCATCGCAACCCGCCGCGATCAGATGTGCGCTGAAGGGAGACTCTGCCGAGAACGGAGCCGAATTTCTCCGGTGTCTACGAGCGTGCATAATGTGCTTTTCTCCCGCCGCCCCGGTCAGACACGGATCGCTGATCCACTGAACTGAGCCCTAGATTTCAGGACGGGCAGCCCTCGGCAAAAAAGTAACTTTCGTTTCTCCACCCCCCCGCCCACGCTTCCTGGCAGCTCGACTTCCGCTGTGGTGAGCGGCTCTGCCGTAATTTGAAATCTCAAGGCGGGCGGGAGATTCGTCTTTGCAGGGTGGAGGGTGTTTGTGCGCCATGGCGACTGCAGGTATGGTGGACCGGTGCCCCCGGGGGCTGCGTGGGGCGGGTGGGAGGCGTGGGGGGGGGGCACCGGCTCGTTGTAACCCCGCAGAGACTCGCTCGCTCCCCGCGCCCCAGCCTCTGCAGGAGCAACATGTCTGCCGCCGACAGGAGAGCGCGGATAAATGATGATGCTTGGGGGTGACGTGACGTGCCCCTGGTGTCACTAATCGTGCACAACCTCTACATTTGCGTCCCGTTTCCCTGTTCGAGGTGGCCCGGCAGCCGTCGGTCTTTAAACCCGCACTAAACGGTGTTTCAATCGCCCCTCGGGTCTGCAGGCAGAAAGGACGCTTGATTTTCTCTGTATTGCGGAAGGGAGATCGTGCATTTGTAGTAGCCGGGCAGGGGACGTTGGGGGCGACGTCTTTACACGAAGTAATAGGGACGCTCGGTTTAAATCTGGCCAAAAGGCCACGGAGAGAGTACGTGTCGGGCTCGGGAGGGTGTGAGGCGTGTGAATCACTCGGCAAACAGCGCGGTGCCGTTGCTCAATCCCCTGAGCTGGGCTCTCATTACCTGCTGAAAGCGCTGCACCGCGGGATGGGGTGACGCTGTTGAGAGGCGGTCCTGCAGGTGTGGCGCCCCCTGGTGGCCGGCGGACCACACGCCCGCCCCCAACCGAGGTCCGGAGTGAGCCTCTGTCTCCTCCTGACAGGCACCGACCCGCTGGACTTCTTCACCCAGGATCAGATGCTGGCCTTCTTCCACAGCAAGAAGACAGAGCTGTCCTGCCTGGAGCAGCCCCAGAGGCTGCTGAACCAGCTCAGGGACCACAACATCATCCCCGAGGAGCAGTACGAGGTGAGCGCTCTCTCTGCCACCCCGCTGAGCCGACCTCGAAGAGCGAATTAGCACCTGCCGCAGGGCACGTGTTCCGTTCAAGGAAAGAGCTTTACTATATCGTGTGTGTATTGTTTTACGGGTTTAAAGCCCCCCTCCGCCCCGCGGTGCAAGATGAGCAGGAGCAAGTTGTGCTGCTCCACACCCCCGCTATTCTTTGCGTACAGAATCACCTCTTGCCATCTGTCTCGAATACACAGGCATTGAACCTTTGGTGCTGTCTCGTGGGTCCTGTTTTTTTATTGTGGAGTTTCAGGGACATCAACACTCTCAGGCCCTCTTTATTTAAAAACCCGGAGATCACAGTCCAGGGTCCCAGTCCAGGATGAGCCCCTACAGCCTGGAGATCACAG